CTGTGTCCCTTGCCCAGACCATCCAGAACCACCTCGGGGAGGAGCTGCTGCAGGACTTGATCAACTTCTGCCTCCGCTACATGGCCCTGCTCAAACTGCCCAAGAAGCGGTGAGACCCCACCCAGCCCTGCCCAGCCCCTCCTCTCAGTTCTGGGCCTGAGAGAACAGGGGTAGGTCTCTCCAAGGGGACCTGGAGATGCTCAGGCCTGGCCTTTTGGTGGGTGGATTCTCGTCCCCTGTGAAGTCCGGGTAGAGCTGGATTGAATTCAGGGTCATTCTCTCCTCTCTGGTTCTGCCCTCCCTCCCACCCCATCACCACCAGTGGAACCTTCATCGAGTTCCGGAACGGCATGCTGAACATCTCGCCCATCGGCCGGAGCTGCACCCTGGAGGAGCGGATCGAGTTCTCGGAGCTGGACAAGGTGCCGCCTTGGGCTTTAGGACCTCAGTCACTCGGCCTCTCTGAGCCCGTTTTCTCATCAGTGCCATGGATTGGGGGGCGGGGGGGGGAGGGGGGTGTTCTGAGAGAACCAGTACCCTTTAGGCACCTACCATGTGCCATGGTTGAGGCACGTGTGCGTCTTTCCAACGTTGCTGGTTTCCCGCCCCTGGGGACCGACACCGCCAGCCACCTCACTTCCTCAGCTCACACTTGGGCATCACTGACACCTTCCCACCCACATGGGGTCCAGCAATCATTCCTGTCCATTCAGCCTCAAAGTTGGTCTCAGATCTGTTCACCTATGTGTCTCCCCACCCGTGTCCCACCCCCCGTGTGTCTCCCCCCGTGTGTCTCCCCCCCTTTGTGTCTCCCCCGCACTACAAAACAGCCTGTTCTTCACCAGTGCCACCGAGAGCCTTGTACAGCACATCCGTCCTCCCTGTCTGCTCTGCTCACAGCCTTCATGGCCCCCTTGCCAACTGGGCAGTGTCCCAGCCTCCGAGGCGCCCGAGCCCTGCGGGGCCTGCCTGGCTGGGCCCACCCTTCAGCCTTCTCCCTGCCTCTGTGCTCGGAACAGACCAGGTCCCTCTCGCCTGTGGATGTGCCGCTCCTGCTAGGCTTAGACTTGTGCTTTGCCCACCTCACGCAGGAGGCGCAGCACGTGAGCGCCGTTGCCCGGTGGGTGCTCTGGTCGTGCGGCTTCCTGCTGACCTGCCTCTGAGCCCCGCCACTGCTCACAGGTCGCGCCTCGCGCTCATTTCTGGTGTCTGAGCCCCGTGCGCTTGGCTGAACTGGCAAAGCTGGCGGAGGAAGAAGTGGACGCTGTGGCTGGGACTCGGACTGCCCTTTCCCCTCAGCCTTCCTCCATCAGCCTCTCCTCCAAGCTGCCCTTCAGAATGCCCGCCCGCCTCCCGCCGGCAGGACTGGCACTGAGTTCATTCACAGACCCTCCGGTCCGGGCGGGCTCTGCCACCCAGGCTGGGGGCCGTACACGGCGCAGCCCCTCTCTGAGCCTCCGTTTCCCGTCGGTCAGGGGGCCGTGGTCTCCACCTGGAGACTTAGCGAGTCCACTGAGTGTGCCCAGCACAGGGCCCGGCACGCAGCAGCCTCTGAGCCTTGGCCCGCTTCCTTCCCTCCTGCAGAAGGAGAAGATCAGGGAGAAGTTCGTGGAAGCTCTGAAGACGGAGTTTGCTGGCAAAGGGCTGAGGTTCTCCAGAGGTAGGTCCGCGCCGCTGGGAGGGCTGCGAGGCCTCCTCCTGCCCCTCAGGGCCGAGCAGGGCAGGCTCAGCCCAAACGGGCAGGGCTCCATATGCTCTGGCCCCCCGTCTTCCCCACCTAAACCTAGTCATCCCCCCACCCCTTCCCACGGCATCTGCTAGCCAGTCCCAGGCCCAGGTCCGAACGCTTCTGGGATCTGACACTGCTCCCGCCTCTGCTTCGTCTGCGAACCATGCGCTGTCTCACTGCCTGCTCACTTCCACGCCATGCCCCTGCTCAGCTCCCCTGGGGCTCCTCGCTCCTAATGAAACCCCGGGCCCAGGACCTGCGTGCCCTCACCCCTGCCCTCGGGCCGTCTCTGGCGCTGGGACACTGCACGCTTTTACCGGCCTTGGGACTGTCCTTGCTCCCCAGCCATCACCACTCTGGCTTACATCTCAGCTGTGTCACCTCCTCAGAGGTCTCCCCTGACCCGCTGGCTAGAGAGCTCACCCCACCCCTCTGCACTCGTGCTCTGAGGTGGGCCGGTCTGTGACTGCCTGTTCTCCCACCTGGATCAAAACCCCCCTGAGGATCCCTGTCCATCCCATGCCCTGTGCCTGGGCCCCAGGAGCCGCTCCGGGGCTGTGGAATGAGATGGCAGACGGAGGGCCTTACCCACACTCACCCGTGAGCCACTCTGCTGTCTTTGTCCGCCCGGCCCTGCAGGAGGCATGATCAGCTTTGACGTGTTCCCTGAGGGCTGGGACAAACGCTACTGCCTGGACAGCCTGGACCAGGACAGCTTCGACACCATCCATTTCTTTGGCAACGAGACCAGCCCAGTGAGTCCTCAGCCCCGGTCCCTCCCGCCCTGTCACCCCCAGGTCAGGCCAGGACACAGGGTGACAGAGCAGGCCTCTTGGGAGACTCCCAGAGAACAGCCACTGCGAACCAGCCCATTACACAGATGGCAGGGCCGGGGCCCGGAGCTGGTTGGACACTGGCCCCTTGTCACACCGCGGGTCAGGGCAGCCCTGGCAAAGGCCAAGGAGGAGGGCTTTCTGGGTGTTCTGAGGGGGCAGCTCTGTAGGAGCCAGTGTGGGGAGGGGACCCCATGCCAGGGTGGGTGCTGGTCCCCAACCCTGGGAACCTTGTCCAGGCGCCACCCTCTCTGCCTCCTGTGTGCAGGGTGGGAACGACTTTGAGATCTACGCCGACCCCCGGACTGTGGGCCACAGCGTGGTCTCCCCTCAGGACACAGTGCAGCGATGCCGTGAGATCTTTTTCCCAGAGACAGCCCACGAGGCATGACCGCGACTTCCAGGGCCTCCCCCCAGGCCTAACGGCCGCCCTGGCCAGGTGCTGGTGGGGCCGGCCCTCTCCTTCGGCCCAGGACACCTGCCTCGCATCACCTGCTGCAAGGCCAGGGTCTGTGCAGCGACCGCCCCACGGCCAGCTCCCGGTGGACTGGCTCCGTCCTGCACCCCGACGGCCCGGCCACAGCTGCTGCTTGTACTTCTGAACAGAATGGGTTTGTCTACACTGGAGGAGGTGGGTGCGAGTGTCTGTACGAGACAGCCCGCCCTGCCTTCCTGTCGGGGTGCAGGGCAGTGGGGAGGGTGTGTACTTGTGAGAACTTGATCACAAATATTAAAGTTCCCACAACAAGGCATGGCGTTGGTTCTGTCTGAATGGGTAGCTGGCGCCGGTCACGGGTGCTGCGACAGCCACCTCTTTGCAGACGCGGAAACAGGCACGGGCGGCAGGACTCGCCCAGGTCACACAGGAGTCAGGGAGGGTGGTTTGGGGTGTCCTCCCCCAGCCCCTTCCCCCGGGACCCGGACAGAGGCAGCTCCGGGCCAGGCTGAGTCACAGTTGAGGGTTTATTGCCAGTGTTGGGAGGACGGGGAGCCCGGGGGTGGGGCCTCGGGAGGGGGTGTGAGTGACAGAATGCCACTGACCCTCTGCCACCCCAGGCGGCCCCAGGGCTGATGTCCCACATCCCCCTCGCCAGTGCCTGAAAAGGGGGGGTCTACTCACAGGAGAGGGGACCTTGGGGGGCTCCTAGGGGTTAACCTGCATCAGTAAACCTACCCAGGAGGCCAGGGAGTCCTTGTTCCCCAAGGAGAGGCCTCGGGCCTTGCAGAGCAGCCCCGGCTCAGAGGGTGTCGGGCTGGGCCGTTCTCAGTGGGGGGGCTGCCAGCACATCCCAGCAGCTCTGGGCTTCCAGCTGCGTAAGGACTGGGGGCAGGGATGGGACACATCCCAGCCGGGCTCTACCCTGGAGCCTTGGGGCATCTTCAGGGCTGGGGATCCTAGACAGTCACTGAGCCCTCCTGTTGGGCATCAGCCGTTTGCACACAGACTGGCTCCCCTAAGGGTCCCTGTCCTGGCAGGCCCTTCCTTTAGCCCCATTTCCGTCCCCACCAGACGATGTGCCCTGGGAGGGGGGGCAGGGGAGGAGGGAAGCCCTCCTTCCTGGCCTCCCGGCCAGGCCAACCCCCCACCCAAGAGTGAATGCACACAACACACATGCACACCACACACACACACACACACGCACCTTAAGGGACGGACAACATAGGAGCCACAACTCAGCCACTGGCTTGGGGGCCGGTGGGAGCCGAGTCTCGGCTTTGGGAAGAGGGTCCAGCAAGGGGGTTGCAGGGCTGGTGGGCTCCCAGGCTGAGGCCATTCCTGTGGGGCCCCCGCCTGGCCCTGCCTGAGGGGACGTGTCCATCCATCGCTGGGTCCCCAGCAGCCACTGTGCTGAGCAGGGGCAGAGCATCAGGGGGGCTCGTGAGTCAGGGAGAGGGGAGGCCTCATTCAAACTGGGGGGGTCGTCGCCCTCCGCAGACCCGCACCTCCTGGGGAAATGGAGGCAGCAAGACTCCGCGTGGCCAGGGGAGAAGATGGGACCTCAGTTATGGGGTTCACAGAGCCACTCTCAGGCTGAGGAGGAGGGATTGGCCCG